AGGATATTCACTAAACATACAGTTAAGTGAGTTTTGTTAATTTCAGGTATAAAGGGAAACTTGAATTCATCTTACAAATTGTAAGCATAGATCATTGCCTTTAAAGGCGAGACCGATGTTGGCACATGGCGCATTTATAAGATAGGGTATATCGACAATATATCCCTGCCTTATTAAAGCGCCATGCCGGCGTCAAAACGCCCCCTTTATTATTGAGATGGTTTTTGACCAAGCAAACGCATTTAAGCGTCGATCCTCAAAAGGAGAATCAAGGTTTTCCGATCGCCTCACAAGTTGAGAGCAAAATAGGCGTAAAAGGACTAAATTTGCATAAATTCTCTGAAGAAGAGGCGTTAATTTGCAAAATTCCATAAGCGTCATCCTCACCAAGAGAACCAAGGCCTTTCCGGTTTGCCCACCAAGGAGAACAACGGGCGGGTAAAATGGACTAATCTTGCCAATATCCAGAAAAAAGAGGATAATTTGGAAAAATTTTCGAAAAAGCGTCAAAAAAATTGCCTCACAGATATGAGGGGGCGCGCCATCAACGCGATTGCGAGCAGGAAAACGACCTTGCTCGATACTCCGCGACATAATGGCCTACAGAAAAAGAATTCACGAGGTCAGATCGAGGAAATAAAAATCACTTTTTATTTCCCCTTAAAAAGGCGAGCTTGAGGATCAAAGCAATCCCATCAACCTGCATGCGACCCACAAATCATAAATTGAAGTAAGCATGAAAAATGCTAAAAATGAGTGAGGATTTACCTGAGGGAAAAGCTGCGTGGATCTAATAAAAATCAGATCTTGAAAAAGGCTCAGACCACCTCGCTCGATCGGGGCCTGAGGAATTCTAAATATGAAGTTTGGATGGATTTCTCAGTCAAAGTCCAAAGCGAAGACTGATCTAATGCAAATCATGAAGTTTTGGAGAGAACGGGGACGCTCGAGGGAAGAGAAAAGGAAAAAGAAAGAGAAGAGGGGGGCCTGGCCTAGTAAGGGGTAAAAAACCTCTTTTATAATGTTGAACCAAGACCAAATTGAACCGCCGACCAGGACAAGTTGAACCGGACCAGACCATTGGTTTGAACCAGAATCAATTGAAGCTGACGAGCCTCGAACACCACTTCAAATCGCGAGGGTTCGAGTCCTTGGTTATATTCTTGCCTCTGCCACATATTCGGAAGGATCAGGAAATTTTTATAAGCCCGATATACTGCCTTTTTTGGTCATTATCAAGCTGTCAGGTTCATCTTAGGGCACAAGAAAGAAATCACTCCGAAAAGTATACGGATGTATAAACTGCTTTTAATACTCAAATAAGTGGGTATAGTGAGTATAACTATTCTATTTTTGGGTTTGAGAATTTGCCTGGAGAATATTGTTTATAAATATCTTAAGATAATCAACCACACTACGGGACAAGCGCGTTGTGCCATTAAAGACTTCGACGCTCACAATCATGGTCAGCGCAAAGGAATACACTAAAGTTCAGAAAATTCCGACAAACGGGTCAGACAATAAATGCAGCACCGGAACCCTTACAGAACTTTCGACAAAGCCCGAATAGCTGTCTGGAGAATTGAAGGAATCGAGAACGGAAGTCATTTCCAAGAGTCCCTTTACACCGACTGAAGTCTCGAGCCATGGACAAGCATATCAAAGTATTCCAGACTCTTCTATAAGAAGGAGACGCGACTGAAGGATTACGTTGGAGGGGTATTTTTTTTTTTTTGTTTTTTTTTTTTTTTTTTTTTTCTGTAGGGCATCTAAAATTGCTTATAGTCCCCTAGCATAGCTCGGCACAAACCGAACGAACCGAACGGAGCGACGAGGAATGACGAATCGCCACATGAAGCGACGGAATGAATCCACGGCGAGTGTAGAATTAAGCTAATGGAGTCTGCAGGAATCACCGAGTAATGTCCAACCGTGAGCAGACCTCGGCACGAATCACGATCGAATCAAGAGTCATATTTCGGACTCTGAAGCTCAGAAGCGGATTTTACTGCCAAATCAGGAATCCAACTTAACTGCCAATACAGATCAGTCAAATCAAGCAGTCTCATGATCAACGAACCACGAACAAACGAGGAAACGGAAAACGGCGTAGAAAGTTCCGGAAAAAACACCGCCAGCCGGCGGCTCGGCAAAGCGAGCCACCCAATGGCTCGCAGGCCGAGCCACCCTAGGTGGCTCGGGTGGCGATGCCACCTCGCGGGTGGCTCGCCAAGCCGATGCCACCCCAAGGTGTGCTCGGGCCAAGCGGAGCCACTTTGGGGTGGCTCGGCGCCGAGCAACCTCGGGGTGGCTCGGCCATGAGCGACCACCCAAGTGTAGGCATAAGTGTCGGCCACCCTGAGGTGGCCGGCAGTGCGCCCGAGGTGGCGACAGTGGCCAGAGGTGGCCACGACAATTCCCTTTTGCAGCACTTGTCCTGAGAGCCGATAAATTAGGCAGAGATGTTCATTTCCGGGAGGTCGAAGACTTTCATAGAGCCGAAACTCTTGCCGGATTTGAAGACCAGTGAACTCGGAGCTGTAAGACAGGCAAGACTTGCAACATTCAGATCTGATCCTCGGCGACCATCCACGTGCAGAAAAGGCAGCTGATTCTCGAGAGAAAGAAAGAAACAGATTGAATCTACACGAGGCTACACTCCAGATCTAGCTTGGGTCTTAGATCTCGAGATCGAGCGCATTATTCCCTTGGTGGATTAATCCCTCCCGGCTATATTCCCTTCGTGAGAATAATACCCGCATACTCGTGTAGATCCGACCGATCTAGATCGGCGCGGTGGTCACGGATTAACCCCGGCGCATGCAAAGAACCCAACCAAAGACGACGCAAAACAGGAGCTCGGTGATTTGTTCACAGGAGGAAGTTGAATTTTTCTTTATTTTCTTTGATTTAATTGTAACCGGATCTATTAAAAAGACCGGATCTTTTGTAACTCGAAAAGTTGTAACTAAAGATGACAATTATCTCGTTAATGAGAAAAAACCAACGTTTTCCACTACGGAACCACCATTCATTCTTACGCGGATCATGTAGAGAGACAAGATGTATCCCTAGTGTTTGTTGACACAAAATTGCTACTTAGCGGAGTATATCTTACTAGCCTCATTGGTGGTGAGGATGATTTTTGTCGCATAAGAAATGGTTTGGGCTTATGCAATATGTGAAAGTTCTATTTGCTTATTTGTTTAGTTGCATTTTTGCATGCATTTCTCTTTCCCCATTTTTGATGGTGACAAAGGGGGAGAGAAATCTCCTCATTTGTTGCACATACTTAGGGGGAGCTCATAGATAGGGGGAGCACCTATCTATAAGCTATATTTATTTTTGCTCTTATATAATGGTTGGTTGTCATCATCAAAAGGGGGGAGATTGTTAGCCCTTATATTTTGATGATGTTTTACGACCACCATTATCGGTACTAATGGCTTATTGAGTGCAAATATAGTGAATTCATATATCAAGCTTGTTAGTACCACAAATGGAGGATTGGATGGAATATGCGCTACAACGATGATATCCAAAGGAGGAGGAGGCATAGTGATGAAGCAACGTTATTTCAAGAACACCAAATTCAATTAGAAGCTTCATCCAAAACTCAATCTATATCAAGACTCAAGAATTATATTCTCGTGAGGATATTAGCTAGGTTTTATTTTCTCTCTAGTGCTAGAATGTAGGCAAATAGTTTAGATTTCATCTAAAGCTATTGGGATATCAACACACACATTTTCATACTTATAGTTTTGAACGTATTTCTCAAAATACTATTTTTCATAAGTATAAGGACCTATTTGCAAAATTCCTTTTCCAAACAATTTATTTTTGGTATTAAAAATATTTTACAAAGTTTCACAATTTTCAGAGGTCAAATGAATATTTTATAAATATTTTAAGTTAGTCAAAAATTAGTTTTTTGAGTGTATCAGATTACGGTCGGC